ATGCTTGAACAAGTAAAATCTTAAAATATAGCTCGGAGCATCTGCAATTCCATGATATATGGCCCCTGCGTTAGATTCAGGAATGCCATATCAACTGGCTCAAACTGAAAGAAGTGTGCTTAGCACTACTTCACTTTCTACACATAGTTCGAGACCACAAAGTCTTGCTTTGCACGGTCAACACAGACCAGATCCCCATCGTCGTTAGTTGGCGGGGAAAATTTTCTTTTGGTACCTGGAATACAATGTGGAGCTGGCCGCACACCACTTTCCAGGGGCGAGAAACAGTCAAGCGGACAGCAGCTCCGTCTCCAGAATGTGAAGTGGTGGATAACCTCAATGGGTAACCTCCAGACTGTTTCGGCGGTGGGACGGTCCAAGGAACGCCAAGCTCCTGACAAACACAACATTGCTGCCGACTCCAGAAGCCTGGACACGGAACATTTTGTCGACCCCTGTGGTTCCACATGGACATGTACGCCTTTCCTCCCTTCCCGCTATTCACCGGGTACTGGAGAAACTTTGACAGGAGCGCATGTGCACTTTGACGCGGGTGGCGCCTAATGGACCAAGCAAGGTCTGGTTTCCACTACTGTTGGAAATGTTAGTCGAAACATCAGGGGTGCTTCCAGATTTATGGATCTGCTGTCCGAACCGGATGGCGCACTGCCTTTAAGCCCAGCGATGTACCACCTACATGCATCAAGGCTCTCAGTTGACTCACTCAGAGAGTGGGCTGACAACGTCCTGGCCAGGGCGAACAGGGATCCGACCAACACAGCCTATGCCTCGAAATGACGTACGTACACTGATTGGGGTAGTGGAAGAGAGATCCATGCATCCCTTTGTTGGCCAGACAGTTTACTTTTCGTCCATCTTTTGAACGAAATGGACTTTCAGTGATTGTTGGCTATAGGTCAGCCTTGTCACCCACCATTGCAATTCTCTGTGGACGAGGCTAGCCGGTTGTCCTACCATCAGGAGACTATTTACTGTTTAATCAGAGGCCTAGACCCCGACTTATCGGTTGTGTTGTCCACTCCAAGTAGACTACCTCTTGAGCCTCTCTGATCAGCACCACTCAAACTTTTGACGTGGAAAACAGTCTTTCTACTCACCCTCGCCTCAGGTAGGCGTGGGGCTGAACTACGGGCCCTGTCCTTCCTAGACGGGTGTGTCGCAGTCTCAGATGTACCTGCAGAAAGCATAATCTTGAATGTTCTGCTGTTTGTAGTCAATAAGGAGGATCTGGATGCACAAATGTAGTTCAGATATCTGATGGAGATTAGCAATTACATTAATCAAACAATAAACTTTTGGACATTATTATAACTATTTAATACAGTTTTTAAAATTAAAAATATTGTTGAAAAATTACGTGTAAATGGTCTATTATGTATATAGTATAGCAGGTTTGTAGATCCAACCAAGGTGTCTCATTCCTCTAGTTTTTCTTTTAAATTTGACTGTGGGGGATTGAGAATAGGGTTTCACACTTATCTCAACCCTGACGAGCGTAAAGTTCAAGGCACGTAAAACAAGGGACTGTCCATCAAAGGAACAGGAAACAAATAAACAATATGAAGAAACTGACTTTATTACTCGTCACTGAAAAGGTTACATGTACTCGCACGCTAAAACAAGTATTCAGGCCTTTTATAGCCTTGGTATGATCAGCAACCATAACAAATTTTAGCGGGCTTGGTGCTGATTGGTTCTTAGTGCTATAAGCTATGATTGGCTAATAAGAGAATAGCATTTGAAATGGCGTCTGATTATCGTTATTTGTGCTAGTTCTCTTCGGACGTATAAGGCTCCAGTATAGTCAACGCCACACATTTAAAAAAGCGGGACTGGAGTCACAGGGCATTGTGGCAGCGGGGCGATAATAGGTTTGCTGTATGCGGCTTTGCTTACACGGTGACAGGTAACACATTTGCTGAGTATCTGATTCTCTACCCAGCGGATAGAAATAATCCAGTAATGTTCACGCAGCCTCGCTACCATTTATTGTGGACCGCTGTGGCTTTCACAATCAAGACGGTAAGAAGGTGATTACTTGGAAGTAGAATTGGATATTTGGTTGTATATTCCAATCGCGAATTATGTAGTCGTCCACCTACTCGGATAAGTTTATCTTCACCAATAAACAACTTGAACTGTTTACAAAGAGGACCGTGTTCGTTTTCTTTGCTTTGCAGCAAGTATAGCAAGTCCGTGTATACATAACGTTGGACATCTTGAAGCCATATGGTCTCTGCCTTGTTTACTTCATCAGCGGAAACAGCGGTTTGATGTGAAGTAACGTGGCATTTCAGAATATCCCCAAAACGTAATATATACGAAGTCACATGTAGTAATTTGTCATAATTATTGTAGCGACTAATGTCAATAATGCGATGTATATCGGTCGAAGCGTTGACCTGGGCTGCACACTCATTGTCAATGGAAACGGGGTCGTTGACCTTTCTGGTGACTTTCGTGCACATCGAAGATGCGAGAGAAGTGAACAGTGGTTCGATGTTTACTTCCGGTGCAGCGGCGAGGTGATTGACGATAACGGAATGTTTATCAACAAATAAATCACACGTGGACCAATTCTCGATACTTGATAACCATGATGGACCCTCATTCCATAGCATAGAATTTCGTAAGGCGGTAGGCGTTGTGCCGCTCGTAGATAGAGCTACGTGTTGACGTCCTCTATGGTACTTTCGTTTTTATTGACGTCTTGGAGACTATTATGGGCTGTTGAGTAAGTTGACCACACCGGCGATTGACTTTTTGGGTTTTCGGCGTTCAATATGCCTGTGAGAGAACATTATAGACCCAACGAAGTAGGTTAATTTTATTGTAACTTTCTTATCTTTTAAACTTTATGTTTTAAGAGATCCTGAGTGATAATTGTGAATCTTTGATGTATTTTTCGAAATATCGTTTTTACACATGATTTCGTCATAGTACATTGCACGCTACTTTTGTTGTTGACAAACTGTCATTTTCTGTTTGTAGTATTCACCGCTTGGAATAAATTATTATCCCCTGAAGCACTTGTGGGTGGTTGTTTTTCGAAGTGGTTGATCACAAGTACGGGTATAAATGCGACTAGACCTCGGAACAGGCGTAATTCCTCTCGTTAGCAGATCGGCGGGGTTGTCACTCGTTGGGACGTAGCGATACTGCTGGGTGAATGCGTTGATTTCTTCGATGCGATTACGTGTAAAGACGTCTGGATTTCCACTGCTATTAATCCAATGTAGGATGATTTGTGAATCATTTCATAGGGAATTTTTGGTTATCTTGAATTTTGTAGATAGTTCAATACCAACGAATTTACTCAAACGCGTGGCAACCACTACACCCATCAATTCCAGGCAGGGTAATGTCAAAGTTTATTGTTATTGTGAATTCTCAACAAATAAAATCATTTGAACTATTGCTAATTGAGTTATTGCCAAGTATCATCTCATGGACGTTGCTTGTCCATGTGCGTAAACAGTCTAATTAATTTTTGAATGAATCTTCTGCTTCTGTGTTTGACGTTTATCGGTCAATACAATTGTTTATTCCCACAACTGTTCTATATTATTTAATAACTCTGTCTCATATATATTTTATATTGACAGTGTGACAGTGACAGTTTCTTAAAAACATGAAAATAATAGTACGCATGCACCATGAATTTAACTGTACGTACAGGAAATTCAAAGCGCAAAAGCATTGATTAAACGAAGGAATAAAAAACTGTTATCATAATACAAATCGTATTGTACCAAAAAGCAAACAAAACAGGCTAAAAAACATTCCCTGATGCCCCCTTAACTATTTGTTATAGATTGATGACAAAATATGCAAAGGTTTAGAAAATTACTTAGTTTGACAAATGTTTGCCAAGTAAAATAAAATGGTCATAAAAACATTTTAGTTGATGTAGTTAAAATTGTATCATACTATCTATGTCTATCGATGTAATTTGAAACAAAATTGCTCAAAAATTCACCAACATGCAGTATTAGAGGCATTGTGTTTCTGGACTGATTGTTACGGTTGCGAGTTAGCGTCTGGGTTAAACTGCGGTGTACTATATTCCACAGAAAGGTACTTAACTCGTACTACCGACCTGTTTCACCTTTCGTTACGTCATGGCAATGGTCAGTACGTGATATCTGTTCGTGGTTTATTAAGGACAACATTTAATATTTGACATCTATATGTCGTTTATTATGGACACAGTTTAACATCTAAACGCAGTTGGTAAATTTGCATAGAATAACTCAAACTTTCCCCATGTGTGCAAACATGGCTCTTATAGGAGTTGCAATGGTTTACAGTTTGAATGAATGTATGGAGCTATAATGTGCATAATTATTAATTTATTCTGGAATGACCCTTTGGTTATCATTTCTGCCCGCGGTGTGCGTGGGTTCGACTCCAATGTTGTTGTCAATGATCGTTTGCCTGTATTTTTGATTCATAATTTATCAAGGGGAATTACTTTTGAAATTTGGTAATGTAATCCAGATGTATTTGTTTACTATGCTTTCAATTTCTATCAGAAATCAAATGACATTCTCAGATTTTAAATGAATATGGTACAATATCTGTAGCATCGACTAACATGGATTTGCAGGGCACCGCCTAATATAACTGGATTGGACAACAGATACGTGTTGTTTAAATAATAGGCACGCACAAGTGAAAATTTACTGGTTAATGCAATTTAATGGATAATGAAGTAATAAAGTGCATTTCAAACAATAATAGTTCAAACTTGATATACATTAAAAATCTTTTCTTTTGATTGGCATGTTTATAATCTGTATGCAAGTAACAATAGCTCAATGACACTGATAACATTCAACTCCACTTGTGTAATGACCTCTCGAAATATGCATACATGAAAACAAATTACAAGGGAATAATATTTTCATATTTGTATGTAACACCTACTCATTTCAGTTACTAATGCTTAATCTGATTGGTAAGACATGATGGTAAAATATTTAAACACTCAAGCATCTCAATCTCTTGATGGGTTTAAACTACATTTCTATACATTAATGTAAATAAAAAACGAGAAAGTAATCCGACACAAACTTCATTCCGATATATTTAGACAGAACGATCACAAAATAAAACAATGCATTACGTACGTAACCGCAGTGGTCTGCAACTCCAATTGAAAGATAACAAATATTTACCACACACCAAAATAAACAATTAAAAACAATGTGACAACAATCATATAGTGGCTAATTTCGTTTTAGTTGAAAATACAAGCACATATTCACGAATTTTATTGGTTGCAATAGCATTTTTATTTGAGTAATTAGCTTCTTATATATTTTATAATCCTTGTTCGTAGCCTGTCTTTAAATAATCATTAAATTAGTCCTCTATATATGTACCCATCACACTAATACTTGGTAGGTGAATGTTTGATTCTCTATTTGAGAACCAATAAAATTATGCGTGATGCACTAAATTCACCTACGTGATGATGACGTAATTCAATGTATATCACAATCACCATGTGTTCGCTAAACATACCTCAACAATTGTTGTCGTTAAAATCACCAAAATGTATTTAGCCCTTTTTGAAAAACAGTTAAGTATTTATGCAAACGTTTCATGCATTGAAAATATGCGGGTTACACTTAAAA